CGAGTTGCTTCATCTATGGTAATCAAAAAGGATTGTGTCGTTCTATTTATATCTGATTTCTTTTGTAATTCTCCAAAATCGATGTGTATTGTTTCATACGGATTTTCAGAGCATTTAGTCAGATGAACGAAGTTTGGTTTTGGCATGTACTTGAATTTCGTCATCTGGCAAACTTTGCATGTCTGAACGTAATATTTAATGTCTTTCGTCATATTTTTCCAGTAAAATCTTTGTTTCAATTTGTAATAAGTTTTATAGTAACCATCGTGTCCTCCTGATAAACAATCATCATGATATAATTTTGATATTTCCTTCACCATTTCTCTAGATTTCACTGCATATCTACCATTTTCAAATTTTTCCAAATTGTCCGCAATCAATAAGTTACACCAAAAAGATTCACTTATATTATCAGATGTCTCAATGCACAACCTGGATATAGCATCAGCGTCTTGTAGTTCCTTTCCAGTTTTATGATTCACGGTTATATCAATACTCCTCAAAAATATTTGCCATCTAGCCAACCTATCTCGTAAATTACCAGTGGATAGCAATTGAGTCAATGCTCGATGGTCGGTATGAACTGTAAACTTTCTTTCCTCTAAATAGGTTCGGTAATGCTTAACTGCTTTGACTACAGCCAAACATTCTTTTTCAGTAACTGAGTAATTGATTTCACATTTAGAAAAGGTATATGAATAATAACTAATGACCCTCAATTGTCTATTCTTCACTTCTTCATGATCTCTTTGGTATAAAACAGCACCACACCCATAGTAAGATGCATATGTTGACATTTCAAATGTTAGACGACGATTGGGAATTCTCAAAATAGGCTCAGATGTTATTATTTCTTTTTCTTGTTGAATGCATTCTCACATTCCAAAGACCAAATGAATTGTCTGTCTTTACATTTCAACGCCTCTAATGGTTTCGCTATCTTACTGTAGTCTTTAATAAAACTTCTGAAATGATTGGTGAGTCCAGTAAAACACTGCAATGATTTGATATTATAAGGTCGCTTCATGTTCCTAACTTTTTCTGTAATTTCAGTCTTCATCTTTTTAGTGTCTCCATCTATTTCTCTTTCCAAAAATATTACTTTTGGAACACAAAAAACACATTTTTTATAGCTTATTTTGAAGTTTCTTTCATTTAATTTTTTCAAAATTTTTAGTGTTAGTTCTTCACACTCTTGGAATGTATATCCTCCACACATTATGTCATCTATAAATGCTACAACATTATCCTCCAAGAGTTCTCCAAGTACATCCTGTATAATACGTTGGAACTTAGCGCTAGAGTTTTTCCATCCAAATGGTAGTCTTCGGAATTCATAATGTCCTTCTTCAGTAACGAACGCTGTGAATTTACTTGTTTGATCAGAAATGCCTACATTCCAAAATCCATCCTTCAGATCTATTTTTGTGAAATATCTACACCCCCCAAACTTTTCGGTTATATCATTGATAAATGGAAACGGAAATGGATCTAATTCAGTTTGCTCATTCACTTGTCTATAGTCAATACATAATCGAAAACTGCCATCACTTTTTGTTTTTATAACACATGGTGAAGAATAAGGTGAAGATGATGTTCTGATAATTCCATTATTCAGCATATCCTTTATTTTTTCTCGTATCCATATTTGTTTACTTTGTGAAAAACGGTATGGCTTCAATTCAACTATCTCAGCATTATCTTTTGATTTGAAATCAGTTTCGTAACTAGATGGTTTATTATCGAGGTCGCCCAGTATATTTGGAAAATTCCTAACCAATGTGTTTTCTGTAAAATATGTTCGTTCATTCTCTTCGTAGTTTTTCTTGAAGATATTCAGTCTCTGTAAGGTTTCTCGTCCTATTATCAAATCAAATGGCAAAGTGTTCACAACAACAGGATTAATCTCTACAATGACATTATTGAAATTAATTTTCATAATACACTTGTGATTGCATTTTGTTACACCAGCCAAACTTCTTATTTGAACTTTAGCCTCGAATGTATTCAATGATAATCTTTCTGTCACATTTTCGTTGATAAGATCAATATCAGAACCAGTGTCGAAAAGAGTTTTCAATTTCAGTCCATTTACAGTTATGAACTCTATATTGTCATCATTTTTTATAGCAGAATATGTTGAATAGCTATTATAACTCTCAAAATCTTTTATTTCACCTTGTACATCTTCATCATAGTTGATAAGATTACAATTATGTTCATTTCCGCGAAACGGTTGTCGTCTTTCCACTTCTTGGTTTGCCTTGAATTTTTGATTTTCAGTTATTCCCATTTTCTGATGTGAATTCGTATTTTGCCTACCGTCTACATATCTTGAAGTCTGTGATTCTTGATAACTTCTTTCAAATTTGATGTGCTTAAGTAACTGAAGTAGTTCTGTTTTATTCTGAATTTCTTTGTAGCAAATCTGTTTTTGAATATTGTATGGGAGTCCCAGAATTAGGAAGGCAATAACAGATCCTTCAGATAAAGAGTCATCAGCATAGTACAAAAGATGTTGTTTTTCATAAAAATATTCCAATACTGAACCTTGATGAAATCTGTATGACAATGCTTTGTTCCATTTTGTTACTTGGTCTTCATCAAATACTTTGATGAATGATTCCCGCCAATCTGCCCATGTAGAAAATCTGCTTGACTCGCATAATTTTTGTTCATACCACTGCAGAGCGATACCATCTGAACTGCATCTCATATTCAAGATTTTTTCTTCATCTGTAGTCCATTTATTGTGGAAAGCTATCATTTCGAATGTTTTCATCCAAGAATTTGGGTTTTTTCCTGTTCCATCAAACGGGTTGATAGTTTTTTGCGTTGTCGAATCCTTAATGAGTGACAACCATTTTGACATCATCATATCAAGCTCAGATTTACCAATTGATAAACTCCGCTCTTCATTCATGTGGGTGTCTCCAGATTCCTCTCCTCTATCATAATTGATTTGGATCGGGTTATTGTTTGCCGACTGCGCCATATTTGTAACAACTTTATATTCGAATTCTGGAATAATTTCAATATACTTCGTGTCTTTTTATTTATCAATCATAATATTCAGATGTTTTTTATTATCCATGGATATCATCATCCGTAATACAGGGTGACAGACATATACTGAGGAATATCAAATTCCTGATCTAATATTCCCACAATTTATCTTAACGAAAATGCATCATATTGATGAAAAATGCGTACCTCCATTATATGAACTTCGATCCAAGAAATTACAAACTCATTTCGAGGTCAGACACCAAACATCCTCATGACGAAGTAACACTCTATTGTTTCACTTGTAACACAGAAAAAATTTTGTTTCATCTACTAAACACTACGTTATTCTTCATTCCATCATTCAGTATTCCTTGTATCACTTTGTAAAGACTACTTCAGAATTTTATGTGTTCGAACGCGGTCACATATCTGACGACTATACATACACGTTGATTCTCCGAAGAAGAATTCCATATCCCAATCTCATTCAACTGATCATCAAAAAAAATCATCATTTTGAATGAATATTCATAACACGATTATCAAAGCTCTGAATTTGAAAATTCCGAAAAGGTTTCGAGAGAAAACTTCAATTCAGAGGATACAAGTGAGAAAAAAAAATTAAAAGAATTTCTGTTCAAACGGTAAGGTAACGACCATGATGCAATTTTACACCCATTTATTCAATTATCACCCTGTACCAATGTTATCTGAGATTACAGAAGTTTCATATTGCATCAACAAACTGTCAAGAGATCAGGCTAATCATCGGTGGAATCCGATCTCAAAGTGGTGAGGAAATTCGTGAGTTATTATACTTTGAATTCAGGCTATATTTTGGACCACGACATTATCAATGTTGACCATTATTTGACATGTTTCATTTCTAAAATTGCACAAACTCTTTATCTGATGGAGTGAAATAAACAATTATCAACATTTAATCAACCCACCAAATGAATTATGTTTTGAAATAGAACACACAACGAATATCATGGATGGATCATAGATCATGAATCGAATTCATGGAATTTTGCAGAGATTTCAATCGTTAGGGATCATGCACATAGCTGTTTAGATGACAAGGTATCATCAATCTTCAAATGGTGAATCGGTACTTACGGTTTCACAGAACTATTGGCGAGTAAATATCTATCTGCTCGACACTAAACGGAACGCACTGTCGAAACAGTGATGTTATTACTACAACGATCGTAACAACAAATTGAATTGTTCGTTACAAGACTTTATGCGTGAATATCTTGAAATGATCCACATGTAACTCGTACATGAAATGCCATCTTCTCATAGAGTCTACTACATTTGTCACCACTGCGTTCAAAATCCAGAAAGTAGTACCACGATGATCGTCTTCTAACTGGTACCAAATAAGAACAGGACATAGTGAACATTTCAATGAATTTCTGCTGCTATGCTCATGCCACATGAATCGACTTACGGCAAATTCATCGCATGATACTCATAGACTTATCAACATAGAGTTCGCAATACTTTCGATAGCAATTTTGTCAGGAATCAACGACATCCAATTGCTTGGTGACACCACGAGCCCGCAGGACGAGTGGTGTTACCTCAAAGCGATATGATATTGAGGGCACGAATTGCTTTCATTGAGACAATTCCACGAACTATATAAAACAATCATCTTTATGTCATACCAGGTGACAAGATGTTGTTTCATCAAGATTCGTGGTTACCGTGATGACGTGGTCTTACCAGCTCGAGAGGAAGAAGCAGAGTACAAACATACCATTCTGATTTTTTCTCATATCGCAGGAGATTATTGTCAGAGAATAGTATATAGATTCTTGCCGGAAGAATCGATGATAGGATTATTTTCCAAACACTGTTGTTTATGGTCTTCCTTCTTCTCATCGACGCTGATGAATATTTCATTGGTTCATGCTGGACATATGCTTTTGAACTTTCTCCAGTTAATGATGATCATCAGAAATGTGTTTTCTCCTCAGGGTGTTCGCAGAGGACGCGGAGATGTTGCAGCTAACTCCCGAGCATGCTCAAATCATTCACGATCTCTACCCAGCCAATCACATGGAATGTGTGGAGTTATTCGAGAAACTCATCGAAACACTGCCTTGCTACGGCATTTTTTCTTCTTCTGGAGAACTGGCTGCCTGGATGGTCCAGTCGTACTATGGTGCTATGTGTTCGATGCAGACTAGGCCAGAATATAGGAGAAAGGGATATGGACTGATTCTTGCTAAGTACCTGACCAATGTGGTGAGTGATGCAAGAAAAAAAGATTTTTGCTTGAATGAAATAAGTAGACGTATTGTGACTGAACGATCGAGCACGCTTTGCTCGAAATCAATCATAAGGCATGTCAGTCGTATGTTCAGATATTTCTGGTTTGATGTTTGGATTCAATCTCGAATATTTTCTGCTGATTAGGTAATTCAGAAAACCCGCCCCAAAGGCCACAGTAGCTTGGATATCACTTCTGTGATCTGAAACTGTGTGTAGTTCTCCACTCATTCCAAATATCATATCCTTGAATGTGCATCAAGAGCATAGATTTTTATAAAGGGTGGTCGACTCGGAAAAAATTTGTTTCAGCGATCTGAAAAAGCAAAGTTTGGTCTTTGTTGAAAAATAACCTGTACATACTGAATGAACTGGAATAATGTTATTGTTTCTGCACATTATTTGAATAATGACATATTCAGTTTCTTTCGTGAATCTTCTGGAATATAATTTCCTTGGAATATTCCCACAATTTATGATTTCTCCATCATCGAATCTGATGAAAATTCTAATACCTTGGCAAAGTTGAATCAGATCCTCAATGGCAAAAGAATATGGTGATGCCCGAATATAGAGACCACTACATATTTTGTGAAGAATTCCGAATGTTTGTCTCGTAATTATGGTACATCGTTGGTACTCAATGATAATTCCGAAAAGTAGCACATCAAAGTCTACAATAACTTCTGATAAGATTTTTTCTCAATCTCCACCAGCCTAACAGCAATCGATGGAGCGATAAAAGGTTGTACAAATTCCAAAGAGAGCCATCGCATGGGTAAGAACACACATGGGCGAATTGAATTGCATATAACTGAAGTGAAGTTAGTAAAGCAACATCATCTTAATGCATCGTTTTTTTCAACGAGGTATTTCATGATGTTTTGCAAAACATCATTCGAATACTCCACAATATAATCGGACATTCGAACATAACGATCTGCGACACAGTTGTCTGGCCAGTACTGAAGCCATTATCCAAATTCATGTGTTGCCAGCTGTCTGATTTTGAAGATTCCTCCAATTTTCAAATTCTTCCGAATTTAAACTCTTGAGATGATTTGGTATTCACCAATTTGATGATTAACACAATTATAGGTCAACCTCATTGTTCACTATACAACTTTATATCTGACATGTTCACCAATCAACTGGGTTCTGATCAGAATCGTCTGAATTCAACCTCACTCTCGATTATACTCTCATTGCCCTAACAACACAGGGACATCCTAGGTACGTCCCTTTTATGTCCCAACGTGTACTGTCGGTACAAGGACATGATTGGGACATCCCTAGGATGTCCTGCTCAGTATTTTCAGGGGATGTCCCGACTGGGAACAACACAGGGATTTCCTATATAGGTACGTACTATATAGGTACGTCCCTTTTTTGTCCCGCGGTACAAGGACATGATTGGGACATCCAGGGGATGTCCTGCAGTGGTTGTCCAGTGGACATCCCGCCCGGTACATCCCTAGGTTATCCTTTTCGTGTCCCTGGAGTATCTGATATCCATTCACATCAGAGTCATTGAATTTCATCAAACTATTGAGTTGAATTTTTTCGAAAATGTTTGTTTCTCTTCCGGAAAATGATTGCAATAAAAATAAAGAATGAAGTCCCAGAACTTCTTAAGAAATTACCATTTTTCGCAGACAGAAATCGTATATGCATAATGCCCCTCATTTTTAAACACCCAAGAATGATAATAATTATACCCAATTCCTAATAAAGTTGTATTTATTCAGGTTTCTGTAGTTCAGTCCTGTTTAGTACAAAAATCTTCAGGAGGCATGATAGCCAATGGAGCAAGGTGCGTGCATGATAAGCCAAAGGTCCCGGGTTCAATCCCTACTCGACCTGCAACTTTTTTCTTTTGTCGAAAGGATGTCCCTGGGATATCCTTGGGACGTCCAAGGGATATCCCTTCATCATACTTGGTACATCCCAGGGACGTACCAGAAGGACATCCCTTGGATGCCTTTTTTAGCGGCCAGCGGATGTCCCTGGGACATCCCTAGTATGTACGTTGTCCCGACAAAGGACATCCCTGGGATGTCCTAGTATAAAATCAGGGACGTCCATGGGAAGTCCCTAGGATGTACTGGTGTTGTTAGGGTGAGGAGGAGTCTTCCTGAATGGAGACACCCAAATCAACAGAATGTAAAATCGCAGAACCGTAATCCATCAGAATATACATTTTCAAACCAGTAATTCAACAGAATCATTATCAACAGGAATCGTATTTATCTTTACTTCAGATGCACAGAACCATAATCCCTCAAACCGTATTTTGTATACTGTAAATAAGCATACTAGACAATAACAAATTGCAGATGCGCAGATGTAAATTCTTCTATAAAATCAATATCGCAGATCCCCAAATCTACAGAATCGAAAACTTACAAACCAACGTTACAGCGGAATGCTATTTGGTAAGAACCATAACAACACAGATTGATTCGTCAGAATCGCAAAATGACAGACCGCACATTAGCAGACCGTACTTTGTCAGAAACGAAATTCCACAAACCATTCAGCGATAGAATAGTAAAATGTCGGATCCGTACATTGACAGAATAGCAAAAAATCAGAACAGCACATTTGCAGAATCACAAAATATCAGAACTGTTGATTGAAAGAATCGTAATATGCTAAAACCGTACATCGACAGACTCGTAATACAACAGACCGTATTTCATCAGAATCATATTATATCATAATGTACAATGACAAATTGTACTTCATCGGACTGTAATGTCATATACTGATTCTGAGAGAATCGTAAACTATCAGAACCGTAATTCAGCAGAATAGTTGGAGATCCGTAAAATTACAGAATCGTATAAATGCAGAACCGTATATCGACAAAATCGTGAAATTTAGGAACTGTAAGTCAGCAGAACCGTAAAATATCAAAACCGTACATTGGCAGAATCGGAAATCATCAGAATGTAATGCAGTAGAACTGTAAAATGACAGACTTCGTAAAGGCCTACTTGCTACTCACAGAGCGACCGCTGGTCACAATGTTGCCTGCTTTGATGTCATGTTGGGATTCTACGTATACTTTCAGTTAGATCTGCTTTCATGTTCCAACAGCTATTGTACACTTGAGAATAGGATAGTTCATATAATATGGAGTATTAAATGAGCACATTTCAATATAACATTTATGAATGTTACGCAACTTTCCTGCTTTATGGAGAAGAAAGTGATTATTTGAAGAGTTTTCTCAGAAACAACAATTTCTAGAAGAGCGTTGGGAGAAGTATTCGAGGAATAGATGTTTGGCATGATACAACAAACTTTGGAGTTCTCATAGTTTGATCATATATACAAGATATTGAATAATATAGCCATCTATGAATGTATGTAATGTATGTATCTGAATTGATGATGTTTGCATGCTATTTATATGAATCCATGTCATGCCGAAATTCATTCATTTTGTATTTTGTACCCATATTCTTGGGAGAAGGAAGGTGATACGAAACGAGGTTGTAATCAGAGGTCAGCAACGAAATTTAGTTTCGAGAATTCTCAATCAACGATAATTAGTGCGGTGCTGTAGATAGGGGTTGTTGAAAAAATGCTCACATTATATGGAAGCCATTGAATAAACGTTCTTGTGAAACTCACTATGGAAGCTATTGCCATGAATGAACGTTCTTGTGAATCCCACGTGTCAAGGGATACTCTTCAGGGTAATCCAAGTTGAGTGTCAGTAGCCATTGTTAACTTTGATATTATTGGAGATGAAAAATTGTTCAAGCAACCAAACGTGAAATGTGGAAAAAAGACAAACATTGAAAGAGAATGTCAACTCTCAATTTGTTTGAGAGATTTTATTTTCATGTTTTTTCAATATTCAGAATGATATTATGTGCATATATATTTTCATTTGAAGCATAATGCAAATTCTCAACTCCAGGAGAGTTCATTTTCAAATTATTATCGTGTGTGCTCAAAATAGATATAATTTGATGTTCTTGGTAGCACACGAAATGAAATACCTATAATATTCGTGGGATTTTCCGCACGCTAGTAAAAAAATAGTATACCTAACAGGTGCGAGAACGTATTGTTCTATCTCAGATTCACAGGGACTGTTCAAAATACTGCTAAGGAACTGGTGGGTTCAGTTTTGACAATTGGAAATGGTGAATATCATGGAGAATAAGTCTTCAAGTTCTGAATGATTGGAGATGACCTTTCAAGAAATACACAGATTGATATCAGATTTGAGTATTCACACTTAGTTTTCATTCGTAGGTTACCCAATTTTATTCTCGAATTTCGTCCGTCCTATATCCTTTATTTATCTGGTGGCGCCTATGGTCCAAGGTCACCAAATATAATGAAAAAAATTATGTTGGGGTAGTTGCTGATTTGAAAAATGTTATATATTTGATAATAACGGAGTTGACATAGTAGATACATAAACATGAAACTAATTAACCTAGTTGGTGATGCCACACAATCACTTACTCCTTGACATCATGGGAACAACGGCGACCTCTCACTTGTTCATGAAAACATCTATGGAAAATGTTCTTCAAAGGTTCTGTTATTATTTTATTACTAGCAATACCAGACAGACGAACTCGACATAAAGCATATCTATTTGTAGTCTACCTCGATATTAATTTGTCGAACAACTCTACCAAAACTTGGTTGCCTATGTAGAGAACATTGAGAATTTGAAATTCTTTGCCTAGGCAAGTATTCCCAAAAACTTTCAAAAGTTCTGAAAAATGGGATATTGCCTTTCGTGCGACCAAAAAAAAATTTGCACTTTCTGCCCCAAATCACTTCCTCTTTCAGTCCGTACGGTACACATAATAGGTCACACATGCTGCTTAAATTCTGATGGTCACTTCATTCGTTTTCAATCAAGCAGAAAATACACCAATCCGATATTTAAGAACTTACGCTTCGAAAAGACGCGTGAATGTTTGCAATATTGAATAAGG